GCGAAATGGCAAAGACCGCAATTATTGTGTCTTCTTTGCAAACAAAAAAGGGACTAAATATGAGAAAAACATCAATTGAATTTGCAGTATATTTTGAAGATTTTTTTTATTTTTGTTGTTGGGGGTAAAGCAAATATTTTCTTATTCCAAATAAAACATCTTATTCGGAACAATTTAGAAAAAACCATGGTTAAAGATGGTGGACCCTAAAGAAGGGATCATGGGACTTAACCTGGGTGTTGCAAGATGATCTCTACAATAAGTTGAAAAATGACTAAAATTGATGTATTCACTGATAAGATACAGACCAAATTGTTGAATGATTTTGAGTGAAACTAGATCAAACCGAACAATAAAGTACTCACATGAACAGCGTCACAAATAATTTAGATTTTTTTTGACACATATTATTGTGACTTTGGTCTAAGAAAAGGAGTAAGGATTATTGGAAAATAAAGGGGTCTCAAACCTTTTTCAATCAGAGAACCACATTCAATTAAATTCAGCTCCAATTATTCTTGTTTTGTCCTAAATCACAACAGTAGATATCTCTGAGGACACAACAATTTAATTCACCAACACAGATCAGAGAATCAAACGGTTCAAACTAGTGCTGTCCAACGATTAAAATATTTAATCGCGATTAATCGCATGAATTTCATAGTTAACTCGCGATTAATCGCAAATTAGTCACGCATTTGTATCTATTCTTTATGTCCCTTGAATTATCATTTTAATACTACTAAAAAGTGAATAGGCGTGCTGTGTGCAATTGCTTTTTTTAATATTTTGTAAATTTGTTCATGTAAATACTCTATGCTGTTTCTCTGTTTACTTTCGGTATATCTATAACTGTATACTGTTTGCTTGTATTGCCTTTTTTATTAACCCCTCCCCCCCATCTCCCACTTCATGTCCCTCCCCCCCCCCCCCTCCTATGTGCCCTTCTGGGTTTCTTCTTTGGCCCCCTGTATCTCCAACTACATATTGTTTGTAATCTCTGTCTACAATGTATCTGAACTAGTCCTATGTGTTTGTCTGCAATAAAAAGTAAAAAAAAAAAAAAAAAAACGCGCGATAAAAAAAATGACGCCGTTAATATTGATTTGCGTTAACGCGTTAATAACGCGATATTTTGGACAGCACTAGTTCAAACACAAGAAATAAAACAAAAAACACATTGGTATCGTCCATAAGTGTTGATAAATGTTAACTACTTAATAATTACCAGGAAACATAGAGAACACATGTAAATATATCATAATCCTGTTTAACCCTATTTTTATCCTTATGATATATACGTAATGACAATGTATTCATTAAAGATTTTGTTGTTAAATTGTGTTAAATTCTAAATCCTTTAGGGAGCTAACTGAATGGGGCTGGTGAGCTATTGTAACTTCTGAGCTACAGGTTGGAGACCCCTGGTTTAAACAATAAACAAAAGTTAACATATTTGGCTTAACACGTAACTGTGTCGATATCAGAAAACCTGAAGCTGGAAACAGCTCTTACATGAGAGGTTATAGTGGGGTGTTTAACGGCAGCTCGGAGCGCATGCCTCGCTCCAGGTGGCGGTCTGGGCACGCTTACACGGCCTGTGGCACCTTCACTGTTATAAAGCAGCTCCACTCACACAAATGCACTCAGACACATATATAGGAGCCAGCACATTCAGGACGGGCCCGTAAACACTGCTAATGTGGAGGAATTTGGCCTCGCGACAGGAGCTATTACATGGCCCCATGAGCGCTGCAGAGGCCTGCGCACTGGTGACGGCTGAACGGAGCTGTGCCAGGCCGGCCACATGTGCTTCTCACTAACAGACCTGACCTAGCCTGGCCAGACGCTCCTCCTTATGGTTAGACTGTCTGGACGGCAGAGGGAGGTTTTGTTTTTTCCACCAACATCAAATCTTACGCACTGCAAACACGGCCAGTGGAAAAGAACATCATTTTAAACGAGAACTAATTTGGAAGCAAAATGACGCATAAAACCTGTCGCAGGCCGGCCGACCTCTGAAGCTGTGCAAGGGGACCTCTGAGAACACCAGGTGCCACAGTGGGTTGCCTTGCTTCTGTCAGTGCCTCGCTTCTGTCAGTGTGCCCCAGGGCAGCTGTGGCTACAGTAGTAGTTTCTCACCACCATTTATGGAGCTAAAGAATAATGACATGTGAAGTGTCTTTGAGTGTCCTGAAAAGCACTTTTTAAAACCGATGCATTATTAATTTACAGAGTAAAATTTGTTACCTCACAAGAACTTGCATGAGTATCTCTCCCCTTCTCAAGAAGTGGGAATTTGCATTTTCAAAATAATAAATAAATATGGTATCAATTTAAACATATTTGTCAATGCAACTTTTGTCTAAAAATGCAACAACAATACAGTAACACAAGGATTAATATGTATTATAAACGGGTTTTACGCGTCACGTTAGTGTCAGAAGTTTTTGACATTAAATAGAATGGAACCAAAGGCTTCTGTAGGTCCGATGTTAGAAATGCCAAAGTCTTTCATGTCCCTGGCATGACCTTGTATATATTCATGTAGTATTTGATAAACCACAGAGGCCTGAGAGCAGAACTGACTTTAATGAAATGCGTCTCACACAGATGTTGCTGACCTTGGCCTTCGTCTCTATTCACTATTATCCCTTCTTTAATTGAAAGGGTAGGACATTTCTTGTAAAGAGGCTAGAAGAACGCTATGTATCTAGTCCTTGCGACTGACTGAGGAAGGGGGGAAAAAAGAAAGAAAGTGCTTTTTTACGGTTTTTGATTACACTACTCGGCGCCTCACCACTCAATCATTTTTATGAAGTGAACTTTGGTTTAATCAATTTCTCAGGGTGAATTGTGGTGGTGGGGGGTGGGTGGGTAGAGGGATAGGAGGGATAGAAGGGATGAAACTGTGTGTGTGCTTTTGCGTGTGTGCGATGGACCCGCTGCCTACCGGGCATAGGGGTTGGGGACGCTATAATCTCCCTCCTCCACCGCTCACTGTCCCACATGGAGAAGCCGTCCTGGGCTGTTCTCTGGACACAGTGCAGCATGTGGGGGACAGGAGGGTCCTGGACAAACGTACATCAATGCTGGACCATGACTGTCACCCCCTGCAGGACACTCTGTCTGCTCTGGAGAGCAGCTTCAGTGACAGACTTAATCACCCTTACTGTGCTCTTACTACTACTGTCCTGTATGTGTGCTGCAACACTGAAATCTCCACACTGTGTGACTAATAAATCTTATCTTATATCAATGATAATCAATGTAATAATGAAATGTGATTTAACTCATGTAGTTAATGCTGAAAATGTAGTCAATGATGCTTTGACGAACTTGATTTACTGTGATGTTATGACTGTACCAAGATTTCTGAGGGGAAAAGAGGATGCGGTGGCAGTCGGGCAGAGGTCATGAATCATGCTATACCAATAATTAGTAGTCAAGGATTGACCCAGATATGTTGCAGTTATTAATTTGCAGTAAAGATGAATATAGTGATGTCATATTAATACGATCTCAAACACTTGCCTGAAGTACATTTTTAACTAAACAATAGCTCCCACTGCATGAACAGTTCGTGATGTGACAGAGTCAGACAGTTCTCCCAGGAAAGAGATGATGTGATTTAATCCAAATTAAGTGTCTTGCTATGACAGAAATAACCCAACTTAAATTCAACTAAACTGATAAGACTAATAATGAGGACTGTTGCCCAACGGACATGTTTGTGTTTATTTGAGTTCTATCATTGTCGTTTTGAACAGTAGAGGCAGGACTGGACTAATAACTGACTAAATAAATATAAAACAATAGAAAAATACCATCGGTATTTAGGAGGCAGAACACAAAGACTAAATACACAAAGAGACAAACGGCAAAAATGAGATTGAGCGTTCCCACTCAAAAGTAAAATCGGAGTCTTCATCAAACCTTTGTCCTCCCACTCAGAGCCGCAAGAAAGCAATATTTGCCGAGTGATGTTTTTAAAACTCCAAAAGGAAAAACCTCTGAGCCATTAGTGTACCTCGCTGCCGTATCACATGACAAATGAGCCCTTATTGCAATGTTCAGTTTTTGACCAATATTGACGACTACAGCTTCAAAAAAAAGTGCTAATAGGTTGTCAGGTGTCATCAAAATAAACAACAATATTTTATAATTGCTGTGTTATAATCGGGTCCATTCATATGAAGCATCATGTTTGCCACAAATGTTCATGCCTCTTTTCAGCTTCAAAAACTGGTGTTATTATGTGATTATCCCAGCTTAAAGACAGAAGTACTGTCAGTTGAAAGAACTATATATAAGCGCATTGAAATACCTATTGCCTAAAGGCCTATTGTGATTCATTCATTTTCTGCTTTATATTCAAACCAACATTTTCCATCTTCCACGTCTCCAGTCCAGGCTGCAAGTAAGTGAAAAGAGGATCAAACCTATTACAATAAAGTGTGAATTTACAGCTTAAGATAATGACTCGACTTACTAGTTCAAGGCAAAATAAATCTTGCACATTTACATAATCTCAACTTTACGTAATCAGGAAAAGTGCAATCTATTGTGTTGTATAAATCTATTGTGACTTTGATAGAACTTATTAGTCAATTGGACTCACTTCAGAACAGTTCTATAACATCACATAACGATTCCAAAAGAAAAAAACAGGTGACAGTGGACCAGTCGACGCTAAATTGGTGCTTTCACATCTCCCCTTGAGAAGAACAAGTCACATCCATTGGACTATTGGACAGTTACGGAACGTCCATATATGGATGTTCCATGTTTCTGTCCGACACGGAAACTGCTGTTGTTCATCGACTCCCGTTCATGTCTTTGGACTTATTGAGCTAGCACATAAGCATTGTCAATCTTTATTCAGGCTGTGGGTGGAATAAATCTCGTAGCCAATGACTACAATCTAAAATCGTGGTGGCAAAACTTTAGGACATGAATGCTTTGGTCAAACCGGGAGACATAAGTGTTTGCAACCGCACCGTTCAGCCTCCAGCCGCATCTCCTCGCGCTTCTGTCTTCGTAGCTCGCGACGCCGCTCAAAGTCCATTTCCTCCATGACGCTTCCCTGTGGGCAGAGGAGTGACACAATGTAAACACTGGGGAGGAATGTTGCAACAGTGTGGGAACCGGCCCCTGTAAGAATCCACACAGGGACATGAAAAGAGAGCTGACATTGTGCTTCTGATTGTGATTAAATTGATAATTTTTTATTGTACTGTGATTAGCAACCACAATGAGGCAAAAATAACACATCAAGTAGATTCAAACCAGCTTCAAGCATTGCAATAATGAGCCGGCCAAATTCATCTTTTATAACAATTAAGATTCCCATACTGAGATTAAGAGATCCTTTATTCGTCTCACAGTGGGGAAATGTCAGTGTTGCATCACCAGTTACAGAGCTGTAGGAATGAGTACCACACAGCACGAGATAAATGAACTTTAACGCTATACTAAATAATATAAAAGAAAAAATCTCCAACTCTAGCATGAAGAAGAAACAAGTATAAACTCTGACTCAACTGTAATAAAGAAGTATTCAATTTCTACCTTTGGCATAAAAATAAGTATAAAGTACTGTGTATTCTAAAGACTGAAATAATTACAAAACGTCCATTTGATTAATTTACAGTCAACAAAAAAGGGCAGTGAGGATCATCCACAAAGCTGGATACCTTGATCATACAAATGAGCTATTTCCCATAATCCAAGTAGTTAAATATCCATGATCTTGAAAAATTCTACACCACATTGCTTGCTCTTAAAGCATCCCACAACTTATTGCCTCACAAAATTCTGAGACTATTGACCCAAAGGGAGCAGTCTTATAGTCTCTGTGTACAGTCCCAAAGACACACTTCACCAGGAGAGGTTTCTCTGTGTCTGTGTGGGGTCAAGCTGCGGGACAGTCGGTCTGGAACTCCAGCGATGTTAAAGTATTTACTGCATTAAGTCTCTCTATAAACAAAACGTCTGAGTTGTAAGTCATGTGTCCATGTTTCAGTGCTTTCATGTTGATAACTGTATTCATTGATTTGATCTTACTCTATTTGCTGTTTATCATTGATGGTATTTTTGATTTGACCTGTTACTTGTGCCATGTGCATGTGTGTGGAAGTACTGTAAAGCAGGAAGTGGCTTGTATTATTTCTCAGTTTATTTTTTTAATTTTTTTAAATAACAATTATTCCAATTCAAATAAATGATTACAACAACACACTGTCTTCATTTATTTGAAAACATGTTATCTTTTGCAAACATGTATTCTTTTGTATTTGTTCTCATTATGCTAAAGAGAGATTATATACTGCTTCTTTTCATGCTGGAATTATAGATTTTTATTTTATTATATTTAGTATAGAGTTATAGTTCATTTGTCTTGTGTGCACTTGTTCCTACTGTTGGCACTGTGGCTGTTACAGCAAGAACAGGGACGATCACCTAACACCAAATATACAGTACATCTATCTGAATATCCATTTCAAGCTGTGGAACTGAGTGAGGGTAATGCTCTCTCTCAAATGCATGAATTTTTCCCATGTCCCGGTTTAAGATCAGCTATTGCAGACAGAAAAGTAGTGATAGAAGAGAGCGAGGTGGTTTAAAAGTTTGGTAAATGAATGGATGTTAGCTAACTTTTTCTACGGCCTCTTGACAGTTTAGAACCAATAATTCAACCAGTTTTGCAGCTCTTTACATAAGTGACTCACATAAGGAACATTGTTATCATTTGGCTATAGCCTACTTCCTATTTAGATAAACACTGCCAAAGGGAAAGGCATTTTGGCACAGATCTTTTGGATGCATTTGCCCTTCCGGTTGCAGTCAAATACTTATCTGAAGTGGGGGAAAAGGAGTGACGTGGACTGCACTAGTTTTTCATAATTATTATAATAGTGATCTTACTTTTAAGTTATGATTATCATGGTATTGCAAATATAGTCTAGACAAGATTGCAACATCAAAATGGGCCTCTGAATCATAATTGAAGACACATTGCATCATGGAGTTGACATAAAATCCACAATTCAGCAAAACTATAGGTAAAAGTTTCAAGCCATAACAAAATCAACTGTTTTCAGAGCGTGGAACTAGTTTTCACACAAATGTTTTTTTGGCGTCTGCCATCTTTAGATCAGCTTTTTCAAAAATTCAGTAAAAGTGAACCATCTGTGTGCATAAGTGAGATGAAAACAGCATGTTGTGGTCTCACACTATTGCTCACCAGAGAAAGTCACAATACCTCTCATCAAGAGTAACACAATAATTGTCAGGGACTGCACTAAGAAGCATCACGCTCAAAAGGAGGATCCTTCCTCGGGGTGTGCTTAGAAAACAAATTTCCAAGATACTTTCTAAATCAGTTACAATAATGTTTTATTAAAGAATTCATATTTATAACTATTGTATTTTGTTGTTGTTGCATATTTGCATTTTCTTTTTGATATTTTGAAGTTTATTTTTCTACAATAAATGATTGTGATCATTAAAATGACGATTTTTATAATCTTTTACTTCTCAGTGGATATGGGATTGTTTTATACCCAAACAGAGTTCAAGTGATGCCCCTGGAAAACATGTTCATAGAGTTGGAGAATTGTTACAAATTCTGTAATGACTGTTGGAGTTATTACAGAATGATCAGAGTTGTAAAACTGTTGCATGTTTTTAAGTTAATGTAAGTGAAAACAATGAATCAATCACTAAGACAGTTGTTTCATTTGTTACAGTCATTTTCTATGTAAGGATATATAATAATTCATAACAAGGTTGGATTAAACTCCTCACACGTTCATTTTTTCTCCAGAAGTACATCACAACTATAGCTTGAAGTCATCTACATTCCACTGCATTCCCAAAGGCTCATAACATAAACCAAACCAAACATACAGTAACTCTACAACACAGACAATAACAAAATACTTTTTGTAGATTTATACGCTGCTATCTCAGTCAGCTGCAAAGAGACAGTTGAAATCCTCTGTCTGATTTTGCTTTTTTTCTCATCCCAACATCACGGACCACCCAAGCACTGCAAATGCTTCAATCATACATTCATAATCAGCACTGAACATCAGGCATAAAGGCAAAAACTACCATGTGTTTGTTCGATCGTACCGTATTTAGACTTGGACTTTAACACCATGCCAGTTCCACGCCAAAATGAAACGTTGACGGAAGAAGTTCAATAGAGCAGTGCAAGCTTCTCACAGTCGTCTCAGGTCTACGGGGCAAAGCGCTGTCTGCTTTCCTCTGACCCCTCCCACATCCCATGGACTGTTCCGACCTCACCCCCATCCTCTTCCTCCTCTCCATATCAGGACAGCAAACTGTTCCTGTGCAGTTTACTAAAGTTAGATATAAAGAAAGACACATTTTGTACTGGAAGCCTTCCTTTGTTCATTTTTTAAAGATTATGCTATACAAGTCTACAACAAGTGTGGGACTGCATGAAGTAATTCTAAGCAATTTAATGTCATTATGTAGAAAACATCGCAAATAACTGATTATTGGAACAGAAACTAATTCAATAATTTTTCAATTCAATTTTTTTTTCTTCATCCAACTTTGAACATTATAAAATGAGTGAAAAAGTTTTTTTTTTTAATCAAAACAACCCAATGTGTAACAAAAACAATACAAAATCCTATTTTTACTGATCTTTCAGAATCTAAGCAACTTAATAAACCAATTAATCTAGTATCAAAATAACTGTAATTACAGCCTTAGTAATATTTGTTGCTCATTAGAGAGACATTCATTTTGCTGCTTGTTTTTATCATATATATATATGACACGTATAACAGACACTTAATGAAAGGTCCCAGAGAAGATCTTCCAGAGGACATGGTGTATAGGAAACATGAGGGACCACCCACACAGAGCATTCCTCACGGCAGCGACCTGGATTCAACTGTGTGTGGACACTTCAGCCTGGCCTCCTATCCCAGTCCTGTTATTATTGTTGTCTGATATCACAACAGCAGTCAGCTTCACAATATTGCTGATGGACCAAATGAAGTCAAACAATGAAACCGTCAAAAGCCCTTTGTAAAAGAGCGCACAAGGAGAATAAACGTTATGGATCCAGATCTTCTCTGGCTCTGTGCTGAGTCGAAGTATGTGAAACACATTTCTTTTCCCACGCAACATTATAAATGGGTGTGTGCTAAAAAGAAAATCGATTTTTTAGATAAATGTCAATATTCATCCAGCCACAACATGCTGCCTTCATCTTATACACAGCAAACACAACTTGTGTCTTTTGAATGTATTGATATTTGGATGTGCAATATTTATTTCATCATTACTTCAAAGGTATATAGGATGATATTCCCAATTTTGGAAAAGAACCACCCTCTCTCTCCAGAGGGAACATCTACTAAAACGTCACCAGAATGATTGACGATTAGGACCAATAGTTTAGATGATCCACCTGAAACATGAAAATTCTCCACTACACCTTTAACATGTCTCCATTTAACTTTTTATTTCAAACTGAATTGACCCCTGACATAATCCAATCGTACGTTGTAATTGTTGTACTGCATGAAAGCTCAACAGCCCCGCCCTCACTGTCAGCTGCAGCTATCGCCAACATGGTTCTATTGACACGTTCTTGGTCACATGACTGTGGAGGAGGCCGACCTTGGCACTGCGGCTGTGCTAAGTGCAGCCTCTTTAAAGCAGCTTTTGTTATCATGATGGCATAAGGATTACACTGCCTTCTGCTTCGAGCCCAAACAGACTACTGAAGTCAAGGGTGCCAAGACACAAAGCTTCTGTTCGGGCAATGGAGATGTTAAACACACCAAGATGTGAGGTTTTATAGATGGCATATCATGCACTTTTGGTTTATATAGTGACACAGAATGGGATGAAATCTCACAAGTCTTAAAAGTGAGGCATCAACAATAGGAAACAACTGATAGGATTTTTTTTAACAGATTTTTAGGGATTGTTATCAGCCAATTTCTTTCACCGTACTTTTACTTGAGCTTCATCAGATGGATTGAGGTTCAGAGTATTAAAAGGAGGTATATCATGAACATATTGACATTTTACTTGATGACTGATGATGATTTCTTATTTTCTCACAAGCTCCTAAATAAAGTGGATATTGGTCAAGCTAAAGTTTGACCAGATAACACATTTATTATTATTTTTTTCTCTTAAAATTGATTTAATGTCCCAACTTGATTTTAAAACCTTTTTTTTCCGTCCAGCCCTGGTTAGACTGTTATATCAATATAACACAAATATGCCTTGTGACATGTTTCGTCTGAGCTTGTTGAAACTGGGTCTTTCCCCATCCCTGTATCTCGTTGCATATGTGAACATTCATATTCAAAACTGTCGTAATGTCCTCATAGACCTGGTTACATCAATGATGTCTTCTTTACAGTGTGGCACCAAAGCAAAAGCAAAAATACATTCTATTTAACAACGTTTTAACAGCAGAGCATGCATAGGGGAAACCCCCCCCAAAATGAACATGAACTCTTCAAAGCTGGGACAAGCCGATAAAAAAAGATGTAAGAGCTGTTTTCAGCGGAAGTCAAATTCTCCACATGCTCGCAGTGCAATGGGTGAGAAAAGTTCAACCCTGAGCTCGAGATGGTTACGGTAACAGTGCACAGTGCCGTCCTCCCTGAACCATTTTACACAAACACATTCATCTTCACATTATGGCCACGGAGCTATGCCAGGAATGTGCTATAGACCCAGATCTGAGCGCACTTGAAAGCGCCTTCCAAATGATTCACAGACCAGTAGGGAAGTCCAGATTTATGGACTCGTCCAATGTCTTGATTAGGCTTAGGAATGGAAGTAACGATTATTTTGATAGTCATTTTTGTTTTTTGTCCGAACAAAAGAGGCTTGGTAAACTAAAATTATGTGAACCAATAAGACTTTTTTTTTTTTTACATCCTTGCAAGTCATTATTTGACGTTTTGGTCATCACTTTTCTCTCTGAAAGAACTGATCTAAATATGAAGACAGTACAGATAAAACTGTTTTGGAGTTACATGGATTTAAAATAATTATGTTACGTTTTTGTGACGCAGTACCCCAGCTTTAACAGGCAATCAACTTTTTCCACACATAAAAACTAAACCACCATTTAAAATCATCCCATTTGGTCCTTTTCCGGGTTTGGGGGGTTGTAATCAGGGCTGCTCCCAATTCTGAGAGCACCAGCCCCTCACTGTTCCATCACAGACGACACACACTTGGTTTTTCAGCGGGGGTTTCAGGCAGAGTGAGGTAATGTAAGTTCTGTTGACCAAGGACACAACGACAGCAGACATCAGTGAAAGTCGATGGAGAAGGTCTCAAGGGAGGATCGAACCCATGACCTTGAGGCGGCGTTAAGGCCGATGCTCTATCGACTGAGCAACTGCCTCAGTCGCTTTGATGCATTTCTAACATCATTAACATTTGCAGAACCGTTATTACGAACCGTTATTACAAACCTAGTAGATATTCAGCTAAAGTGCGTACCCATTAAATTTGGTCAAAAATCTGGAAACTATATTTTTATTTTTCATGGGGGAATTTACAAAGTGGTCCCTTTGCAAACAACAAATCAGTGAATCAAACAGTTTGAACACAGGAATGCAATAATAAAAAACAAATATGAACCATTGGTCCATGGGGAAAGGGAGGACCAACAGTCATAAATATTCATAAATGTCCTGGTATTTGTCCTAAAGAAAGAGATGAGGCCACAGACCCTGAAAAACTGACTGAAAAAGGAAAACTGTAGAACTTTACAGTCTCACAAACATATTCATGCAGTCAAAGTTATACAATTCCAACTACTAAGGAAAATTAAAGTCTAATATATTTCAAAGACAGTTTGAATCCAGAGATATTATTAAGGTGAAAGGTGTTCGCTGATGGAGAAGCCTGGAGAGATGATCTGGAGAGTGAAAGTGATTGATGTAAGCATCCTTGGACATACACTGTAATTGTAAAACTTATTTTGACTTTGACTTTGATTTTCTCAAATTATAGCAAAGAACCGCCCTCTCCACTTTTTGAACAAAACTCTCTGATCTTATGTGACGAGCACGAATCACATATGGAAGAACCTCTTGATGATTCACCCAGAAGTAAAAAATCCTCCTATATGCATATGTTAAGAGATCATTATAGTTTGTTTTCCAAATGGAAACAAAACTGTAATGTTGTACCATCTTTAATGAGGATCAACAACTCCCCAGGGTTTCAAATGTCAAGAGCTGCTCTATTTGAGTGGGATTTTTTGAGTGCCTTCAGAGTTACACTTTAAATGCAATTAAAAAAAATCCAAAAAAGCTAACAGCAAGGCTCAAACAGTCCAATGAGCTCGGACTCAAGAAAACAGTTCCAAGTGAGAGAGTTAAAAAATAATACTCATTTTCAATAATCATATTTTGAATAATACATAAATACTGCTTTTTTGGGTACTCAACAACGCTTCACATGTAGCTATTCACTCATGCCACACACAGTAGTGATAAACTAGAACTATAGCCACAGCTTCCCTGGGGCACGTTGACAGAAGCCACTGGCCCCACCGACCATTCATGCACACGCCACTCATTCTCATTCAAGTGCCCAAAGACACAACAACAGTTGTGGCACCTGGTGTTCCCAAAGGTCTCCCATCACAGCACTAACCAGGCCCTGTACGGCTGAGCTTCAAAGGTCTAACGGGGTGTGCAAATATTTCGAGATTTTGATAGTTGAATATAATTTGAATATTAGTATTTGAAGCTGTAATGGGCATTATTTTCTTAAATGATATGCTTTTTCATGCCCTGTGAAGTTGTGAAGGTTTAGCTCGGAACAGGCTATAGCTACTTCAATACTGGAACTCTCTGGAACTACCTGAAAACTGAACAAAGAATTCTGAACATCAGCGGTGAGTGACCCAAATATAAACTCAACCTAAATCCATAATCAGATCCTCTTCAAATGTTAATAGTTACTTCCGGGTTTACATCGCAGAGACAGAAGTCATAATGACAGGCGCTGAAAGCCTTTTGAGTTGACCAAGTGTATGGACTACTTGCGGCGTAATCTTAGTATTTTACACATCTTAATTACAAGCAGAGATTCAGTATTGGTTTGAGAGGTCCGTTATCAAGAAAAAATGATTTGTAGAACGTTTTGAAATTACATTCAAATCAATGGAGCGTTCTACTGCAGCTGTGAGGAGCTGTATTTTGTAAATTATGATTAAATATTATAATATATCATAATATTTGATTCATAAATTTATAAACAGTTTGATTACGCAGTTCAACTGTTGGAATGTTTTGTTC